ATGTAATAGAGATAAGATCAACATTCCGCAAAAATTAAAACAAAAGCAGAAACTCCACACTCATGTAATAGAGGTAGGATCAAAAGTCTGCAAAGTCTAAAATAAAAGCAGAAACTCCACACTCATTTAATCGAGATAGGATCAACAGTCTGCAAAATTTAAAGTAAAAGCAGAAACTCAGTCATGTAACAATCTACATTAAGGTAGATATGCAGGTTCGTGGGCAATTGGGAATGAATTTTTTTGGCTATAGACTGTTAAAATTTTGTAGAATTGTGAAAAGTGGAACATACTCAAAAAGCAATTTTAAAATATAGATAACAGGTGCAAACATTCCCTTGTTTGAATGCTTAGCGAGATTTAGCAAGGCTGTACATAAATAATCAAAAAGTAACATGGTGAAAAAAAGTAATGACAGGATCTCCATATTATGCACTCTATTTAACTTTTAGCAAAACGAAAACACATTTAAATTTGGAACTGTTACAGCCATTTTAATTATGAGCATTAACAAACTTCTTACTGAGTGAATTGTTATGCGAATTAGCAATTATCTCAGATTCTTTTTTAGTGCACATCCCAGAACTTTAAAAAAAATAGCTCCTAGACGCTTTGACCTTTTGTTTTGAAATTTTCACAAATGATTGACAATGTGTTTATCTTCAAAAAGCCGTCGGGGCATTGTTTGTGGTTGAACACTGTTACAACAATCGTACAGACAACTAGCCTGGGTGTTAATCTATGCATAAACTTGAAGTAGTGAAATTTGAGCTGCTGCCCTGCAAAATTGACAACTGGTTGACAGTTTTCAAGACGACACTTTCTTCATAGTAAACATATGTACCCATAAACCAATTTTGTCAGGAAACAGAAGCATAATTTAGCAGCTTTTTTTAAATCACTTTTGACCAAAAAAGCACATTTTTGTGCATATTTTAAACTACAGTGTTCATAAAAAAAATACTAAAAAATTTTTAAAATTCATACAATAAGCTTTCCGAAAATATATATATTTTAAGGGAGGTCATCTTGGTTTCATAATTAACTAATTATAATACTTTTAGGTAAACTTCATCTCTACCCTAAGTAACTACCTAACCACCACAAGTTAAACATTTGCTGACTTCGAAACCTCCATACCTGCAAGAGTGCCCCACGAATACTTCGATAATATCTATAATTACCCAATTTGTTCAAGTGAATGCCATCTGGTAACATTATAGTTAGAGAAGAATTACATAAGCCAATATGCTTCCAAAACATGGCAATGATTTAAAATATCTACCCTAGCATTGTAACTATAAAACTTATGAAATGGTCTCATTCTGTGCATGACATGACTGACAATTACTTGTTTCACTCTGAATTCCCTATGCATTTGAAGAAAGAGGTCTACCATTTTGCATGCGATTTGCACACGAAAGTCACACAGATCACTGGACCATAACTCTAAAACAATAATAAACATCCATTTGATTCAAAATTCATGCACAAAGGCCTTGAGTCGCCTTACAAAAAAGTGTCCTAAAAATTTAATAAGAACAGTTGGTTTATTGGCCGTGCACATCCTTAACCTTACACATAATAAAATGGCGTTCGAATTAAACAAATGAACCCGCGGCAGACTACAAATTCAAATCGCTTCTAGGAATGAAATCCAAATGATATACCACACAAATAACCGTCATCCAAATTCTGGATGTATTAAGAAATATACCAGGTGAAGCGGATATCAATAAAAATTAGTATTATTTCAACAATTTACCACACTAAGAAAAACCACTTACATTGTTGTGGTGTCTGCCAAAATGAGGAGTGCTACGAGGTGTGTCATCATCCTTCACACATAAGCACCGTTGGTGGTGCACTATTGCTTCGCAATTCGTTATTTATCAAGATGATTTACCCAATTGTGTGTTTTTTGTTATCATTTTCACCACTTTTCCGTTTATAATTTTCACGACTGTTGTGTTTATCATTATCATTTTCACGACTGTTGTGTTTATCATTATCATTTTCACCACTGTTGTGTTTGTCATTATGATTTTCACCACTGTTCTGTTTATCACTATGATTTTCAACAATATTGTGTTTATCATTATGATTTTCAACACTGTTGTGTTAATCATTATGATTTTCACCAATGTTGCGATCATCATTATGATTTTCACTACTGTTGTTTTTAGCATTATGATTTGGGTTCTCTAAAAAACCGGAACCGGAACGTGAAATTAAAAATATTTCGTATTACGAGGTATGTAAGAATACCTCTACAGGGTAGTTGCGCGTGAAAAAGGTCAGACGCATTTGTGTCAATATGCCACTTGCGCGTACGCACAAACCAGACTTGCGCGTGTTATTTTTAAACATAACCTGTGCGCAATGTACCAATGTAAGTTGAAAACAACTGAAAGGTACAAGTCAGGCTCTTTGATACGAATGGATTGAGAGTATAGACATGAATTATTTGACGCAACGAATTGGTTTATTCTTTATT